AATGTTTGCACCAATCACTTAGAATGTTGGCAACTTGCAACATAAGTGTGAAACCGCAAGGGAAGTAATTAATGAGTGCTCCCCAGGGCGGCCTCCATTCGTATAGCCGGGCGGCGCTTCCCTTTCCTGGTTTCACCCAGGGACCCCGCGAGCGGAGGCTGTTTGTGGCAGTTATCGTTCTGGGGGTCCCTGAGATTGGTGGGGACACTCTTTGGGGACAATGGCGGTTTGGCAAGCTTTCTGTGGCTGGGAGTCCAGGAAGCAGGAAGTTTTCCACGCTGGGGCTCCCAGTTACAGAGGCTCATGGAAAGAAGACCCCCTGGTCCCCGGAGGTGGGAAACCATGAGGATGGGTGGCGGGAACAGGGGACACAGGGACTGGAGTTCCGTTTCTATCAGGGGACCCCCTGGGAGGGGACATTGTCGGTGTGTGTGATCCACCCCTTGCATGGGGAAAAGTATAAAGTCGAGTGTGGCCAATAAAGTTGTTGTTGTACCCCCAGGACTGTGTTTCATCCAGTTACTGGGTGGGAAATGGATATCTCTGTATTTTAACTGACTTCCTTTTAGGGAAGCACATGGCTCAGCAGGGACCACCAACCTGGTTGCTTGCAGGCCCACTACAGGCGTATCTCCATATAACATGGAACGAATGGCACGCACGCCGAACGTACATGCCGGATACCGGGGATTTCAAATTACTGATGATTATCGCACCACTATATGTATCCATAAGGACTGTTGTATGAACATCCCTGATGAAGTCCTCTATTTTGTCGGACGAAACGTTGGATACATTTTCTTATGGACTTTTAATTTTGATCTAATTGTTTTACTTTGTATATTTGTATATATTTTACATCTCAACTTGTTCCTGTTTTCTCCACTGGACCTGCCTCTATGCTGTTCAGGAGTTCCATATTATATGGAGATACGCCTGTTAGATCTCTTCATCTGTAAGTGAGACCAATAAATGTGATTTTGTATTTTCATAACAAACTTCACTATATTTGGTTTTTTATTTGCATATATCCCATGGATGAGATTGTCAATCCAGCATACAACATATTACCCCTGAGAGGGTGAGAAGCCTGTTTCCATGTTTGTTTGTGAGTGCACTTATTTCTATAGTTATCACTCACTGGAAAAAAGCTGTATTACGCTATGTTAGTTTTGTAATTTTTTATACAGATTCTACTCACGAATCATTACCTGATTTCAGGTTATTTGTATATTGTCTATATATCACGTATTGGGAGGTGTTTCCACTTTATGTTTTTTTGATTGTTCATGTTTTAGGTGTCAGTGAGGTACACCTGGGACTACTCCATTTTATACGGTTTCACTACTTCACTTTTTTAGTGTGTATACTTCTCTTTGTTTGTAATATATGAGTAGTACCCAGAAGGAGTTTGGAAGCTACACCAGTGGCTACACCAACAGCTAGCAAATCAGTCAGTCACACAGGATTCCAAGAGCAGACAGACTAACCTGTGCCCAGCCTGGATTGACTAAAAGAAATCCTACGACTCAACAATACATACATAGATACAGCTCCATACAAGTTCAGCAACTAGGTCTTCATCAAAAAGTCAGTGGGCAAGTGGAAACCAATGCAGGAAACCAAAAACATGATAATCACACAAGTAAAGATCAAGTGCAGTGAATACTAAGTTTGTGTAGATCAATGGTAGTGAGGTACTTTACGTAGATCAATGGTAGTGAGGTACTGGCCCCATCCTGTCCAACAACTCATCTATCCTAGGCATAAGATAGGCGTCTGACACCGTCTTGTCATTTAACCTCTGTCACATTTCGTTTTGTCCACCCAATATGGGCCCTGCCAAGCAGACTACAGCCTGTCATGCCGAACGGGATTCAAAACTAGCACTTTTTGACTGACTTGAAAGCTATGGCTCCTGGCTCCCCAATCATACCAAGTGGGCTGGCGCTCCTGGGCTGCCCCAGAGGTTTCCCCGCACCAGGTGAGTTCCCCCAGTCAGTCCCACAGCACATAGGGGACGATGGGGGTCCCTTCTTGATCCTATTACCCACTCAGTGCTCTCGGACAAGGTCTTCAGGCCCTCTAACTCTCCGCCCGAATAACAATTCAAACTGAGAAAACCCTGTAGACTCCTGCGGCACCTCCTGATATGCAAACAGGAGATGTGGCAGGAAACTTTCCCAATCCTTTTGAGTCACTGCAAAGGTACGGAGCATCTTCTTCAATGTGCCATTGATGCTCTCGCATAGGCCATTAGTCTGGGGGTGGCATGGGGAGCTCAGGATTAGCTTAATGCTGCATAACTTCCACAGTTGGTGAGTTATTTGGGCAGTAAACTGGGTGCCCTGATCAGAGACAATCTCCCGGGGAAAACCCATCTGGGAGAACACCCGCATCAGGGCTTCGGCTCCAGTCTCTGTCTGAATATTGTTCAGGGCAACTGCCTAGGGGTACCAAGTAACATAGTCCACAATGGTCAGAATGTACCTCTTCCCAGAGAGGCAAGGCTTAGCCAGGGGACACTACTCCTGCCCTTCATTCATTGGGTTGTGCCAGGACATAGGCTTGTACTTCTGAGATGGTCCTGGCCATGATTTCCACTGATGGGTTTCCTCCACAGTATGCCAGGCGGTGGGTCATCTCTTTTTTGAAAGCATCCTTCTCGCCCTCCGGTTGAGGTACAGCAGGATCACCGCTTAGTAAATCGTCCTCCATGAGGGCGACAACTAGGTCAGCCTTGGGCTGGTTGCTGTCCGATTGTCTCTTGGCCTCCAGCAACTCTTGCAGCGTTTACCTCTTTAAATTTGTGTAGTTCATGGATTGGTACGGCTGTTAGTTAGGCTCACGAACGCTGGTTCAATTTGGCTGGACAGTACTATCCCGCTGCTTGCCAATAATTGTAGCAGACCCCGGGTAACCTGACCGATTACCTTTGCTAATACCTTACTTCAGCCACTCAGGAACCCTACAACAAGCAGGCATCCATTTCCCCCCCAGTAACAGGATGAGACACAGCTCTGGGAGTACAACGCAATTTTATTATGCCACACACAGCTTTTATGCATGATCCCTTGCAAGGGGTCTTCCACACAAACACACATGGGTTTCTATCCCGGGATCCTCTGTACTTGGGAGGCTGGGCGCAGGAAAAGGGACCTAGTCTCTTTGTCTCCCAGGTACTGAAAGCCTGTCCCACATTCAAGGGTCTCCCATACTAAATGACATGGGTCTTCATCCTAGTATCCTCTGTGCCTGGGAACCCAGGCGCGGGAAAAGGGACCAAGTTTCTTTGTCTTCCAGGCACACAAAGCCCACCACACTAGCCAGTGCCACAATAGTGTCCCCACCAACCTTATGAACCCCCACATTGTACATTTCCCCGACTTGTCTCCATTCGTGCGGCACTTGTGCGAACCCCAGGCAAGGGAAGTGTCTCCTTTCGGGATACGAATGCTCTCCCTGGTTGGCATTCGTTTATACGAACTGGTGGCCACCCAGGGGAGCACTCATTAATTACTTCCCTTGCAGTTTCACACTTATATTACTGGTGTGAACATTCTAATTAATTGTGTGTAAACATTATAATGGGTCCCCGTTGTGGTCCCCGTTCGGGAGACGGATGGGTTCCGTTCACATGAACGCTCCCAAATGGAGAAACAGGGCATTGTACACGAAAAGCAAGAGGAAACACATAACACAAAGGGGAAAATACACGCATGAACAGTGGTTCTGCTACATCTCAAACTTAATTATTAATTTCTCAAACTTAATTATGTTTCATATTTTATTTTATTTATAAAATATTTTACCAGGAAGGATACATTGAGATTTGTCTTGTTTTAAAGTATGTCCTGGGCTCACAAACATATCTAAATATTTGATGTGAAATTAAAGCCCTGTTTATCCTGAACAAAATTCTAAATATATATATAAAAGGGTGGGTGTACTTAATTAGAAAGATAGCATAAGTTCAAGGTTTTGTTTACATTTTGTTTTGATCAGAACTTGTCCACTTGCCTCCGTCCTTAAGGGGTTATTATATACATGTATATATGCATACTTATTCATATTCATCCTTTTAGTTTCCTGTTTGTTTCCGTATCCACAACTATAAGTGGAATCTGTTGGCGCTATATAAATGGCAATAATAATAGTAATAATAATAATTATAATAAGTACAATAACAAGAGAGATATAACTCTATTACATATAATATAAAAAAGTATTCTAATATCCAACTATATCCTTGGTAAATCCAATGTTGTAATGATATCTATAACAAATGATAAGATGAAGAAGACGAAAAGGAACAAAGAATGGGAAATTATAAACACAAATTATAAAAAATGGCAAAATTAAAAATCAACATTGGATCCACACAGAGAGCTAGATTCCACCTCCCTAAAGGATGACTGAATTGCCAGTATCCAAAAAATCACACAGTTAAAAACATAATGTAGAGTTTAAGAGGTAACTGTATCAGTTTGTACATATACATAACAACAGGACAGCTGCGTGATCAAACCTTTGGTTATACAGTATATTATAAAAGTCCTATTAAAAGTCTTTATTACAAGTTGCAGACCTCGTGTGTTCTCTCCCACTGATGAGGTAGAAATCACTCGGATACGGTAGACCAGGGGTAGGCAACCTTCGGCACTCCAGATGTTTTGGACTACATCTCCCATGATGCGTTGCCAGTATTATTGCTGTAAAAGCATTATGGGACATGTAGTCCACAACATCTGGCGTGCCAAAGGTTGCCAACCCCTGCGATAGACCATCACGTGTGAAGAGATAGCACACAGATAGTGCAATTGCACGCAGCATTGAATTTATGAATACCCCACCCAAATTGCAGCTACTTGCAAGGTCCAGCATCCCGTGCAAATGCCATATTTGCCTAAAGGTTACCTTGAGTTAAATTGCTCTGGTGCGCGGGTGGAGTTTATGGGGTTGACGGACCAGCGGAAGAATAGTCGCCACGAGGCAGAGGAGTCCAAGCAGAGGGGAACGTGGAGAAGGCAGGAGTCCTGGCTGAAGGATACAGAAGACCGAAGGCTGCAGGTCCGCATATGGAAAGTTATTAAAAACAGAAGGGACAGCATAGATCTACCCAGAGAAAATACGCTGCAATACTGGGGAAAAAAATAAAAAATCTCTCTACATTACTGGAAGTCATCCTGTGAGGCAAAAAGAATGGAAACCGCTAAAAGCAAGTATACTTAAAAAACCATATGAGCAAAAAGAAATGGTGATGGGATTTTACAAAGTATACAAAGATATATATATATATATATATATATATATATATGCGATGTAACTTAAAAAACATACAATGTCCATATAAAATATCTATAAACTCCACCTGTATATAAATGGAGAGAAATAAAAAAGGTTTAAAAATTGCCTTATTACACAAATGAAAAACTCTAAACAAAGTCCTGTTTAGATATAAAGGGAAGAGAGGGAAAGAAGAAAGATAACGTGAAGTAAAAAGGGAATATAAAAGGAAAGAGAAAAGAGGGAAAAAAAGAGGGGGGAAGCTGGTGAACTAAGTAGTGAAAATGGTTACGGTAAAGATTTAAAAGAAAAAATAACTAAAAAAAGGACAGCAAACAAGGCAGCCAAATGTCTGCCTTTTTCTCCTCCCAAAATAAATTATTTTGCAGAAGACTCTCTTATGGAGGAGAGAAGAAACTCTTTGTCTAATTTACAAGAATTTATTGAAATAAATCTGGAATATCAAACAGAAACATTTAAAAAGGAAATAAACAATAGTACATGCTAATTAAAACAACAAATAGAAGAGATGGCATGAAAATAATCAAAATAGAACAAAACTATGAAAAAATAGAATTTCAGTACAAAGCAGCACTTGAGGAGCAAGAAAAAAATGACTAAACCAAGTGGAGGACAGACAAAGAATAAAAATTATTAGAATAAAAAACATGCCTGAGGATATTACCCATGAGCAGTGGTGTATCCTGGTTTTGTGCTGCCCTAGGCAGGACAAAATTCAGGCACCCCCTCCCCCCCGCACCACCCCCACCCAACCCTTCCCCCCGCCCCACCTTCTAAAAACACACACACACACAAACAGTCAGACACACACACAGTCACACACACACATACACAGTCACACACACACATACACAGTCAGACACACACACACATACACAGTCAGACACATACACAGTCAGACACACACACAGTCAGACACAAACACACACACACAGTTAGACACAAACACACACACACAGTCAGACACACACACACACAGTCAGACACACACACAAATACAGTCAAACACACACACAATCAGACACACACACAGTCAGACACACACACACACACAGTCAGACACAAACACACACACACACACAGTCATACACACACAGTCATACACACACACAGTCAGACACAAACACACACACAGTCCCACACAAACACACACACACAGTCAGACACACACACACACACACACAGTCAGACACACACACACAATCACTCACATTAACACTTTGTTTTTTAATTTAACCCCTCCCCCAGCCTCCTTACCTTTGGGAGTGCTGAGGGGGTTCCTCTTTCTCCCTGGTGGCCCAGTGGCTGTCAGTCGGGCTGATGAGCTGGCTGCTGGGCGGGCGGCTGGCGAGGGAGCTCTTCCTCTGGGCTGACTGCTCAGCTCCCTCGCGCGCCGCAGAGTGAGGCTGGGAGCCGGAATATGATGTCATATTCCGGCTCCCAGCCTCACTCTGCAGTGCGAGAGGGAGCTGAGCAGACCGCTCAGAGGAAGAGCTCCCTCGCCAGCCGCCCGCCCGACCATCAGCCAGCACCGCCCAGCATGTCTGTTAGCCGCAAGGCTAACTAGGCAGTTGCCCTGGGCATTTGGGCGCGGCGTTTTTTGCCGCCTTGCTTGCCTCGCGGCTAATACATCCCTGCCCATGAGAAGATAAAATAATTTTTACTGGAATTTTTTGCAGTGTTAAATATCAACCTTCAAAATCAAGACATGGTGATAGAAAATACATACCGTGTGTGAAAACTGCATAACATCCCGGAATAACATTCCGGAATCATGTCCAAGGGATGCGGTGGTCTCCCTATACTCTTTGCAAACAAAACAACAAATAATTCAAGCAAGTAGAACTAAGAAGATAACAGAAGAAATATTTAAAAACATCACAATGTATCAAGACCTTTCATCATTTACATTATGTGAAGAAAAATCTTTCCCTAGCTTTGATGCCACTTAAACAACATAGCATAAGATACCGTTGGGGGCCTAACAGAACTATAACAGTGTTCTGGAAAGATACAAAGAAAATGTTTGTGGAGACAAGAGAATTGGAGGAATGGACAATAGAACAAATAAAGTGAAAAGATTAAATATAGTGATGTCCCGAACGGTTCGCCACGGATGGTGAACATATGCGCTGTTCGGTCTGCCCTCTATTCATCATCATTGAGTAAACTTCGACCCTGTACCTCACAGTCAGCAGACACATTTCAGCCAATCAGCAGCAGACCCTCCCTCCCAGACCCTCCCATCTCCTGGACAGCTCTCTAAGAATGCAGCTTCACAATGAATGTAAAATGGATGCTGTCCAGGAGGTGAGAGGGTCTGGGAGGGAGGGTCTGCTGCTGATTGGCTGTAATGTGTCTGCTGACTGTGAGGTACAGGCTCAAAGTTTACTCAATGATGACATAGAGGGCGGACCGAAGAGCGCATATGTTCGCCCTTCGTGTCGAACCGTTCGGCGAACCGTTCGGGACATCACTAATTAAATAACTAATAGGGTATTATTTAAAAGAGTATGAAGAGAAGGGAAAGAAAGAGAAGGAAAATATATAAAAAATTTTGTGTGTTCACAGGACACTAAAAGTTATAGGAGCAACCCACGGAAAAAAATGTCACAAGAGAACGAAGAAGAAACACAGAGGACTGTGATAAAGGACTAAAGGAAGTGTGAATATAAGTGAAAACTATAATATAATGTGGGATTAGCACAGATATAAAGAAAGGAAAAGGAAATTTATAAAGGAAAAAGAAAAAGATATATGTTTACACAAAAAAGAGAGAGCACCAAATATATATACTGGGGGTTTGTGCGAGATACTGAAATAAAGAAAAGAAAAGGAGCAAAGCACTTTTTAGGTGGGTTGAGTGCAAAGGGGATGAGATAAGATAGGAATATTACACAAAACAAATAATGAGCACAAAATTCTAAGGGTAATATTTAATAGTATTGGATAAATGATTTTTTTTTTAATTGAAAGGGGTGTGTTTATTTAAATAGAAAATTATAAGTTTATTTAAGTTTTAAGTCCACTCTAAATGCTTCTCTTTATGCTTGATATACAGTGGCTAAACCTCTATAACCTCAGCTACAGTTTCTCATACATGCTTTGACCAGAATTAGCAATAGGGTATAAGGGAACCCTTTTATGGGAGTCGCTGGTCTAGGTCAATCTCTTAAAATACCCCCACTTGGAGATCATTCAGCAGATCTCAGCTCTTGACATTATCGGGAATTATGTCAAGGAATACATTAAGAGGGGGTTGGTGGCCCCTTCTTTCGTAAGTGAGAATGTATGTGGTTCTCCTTTTTTTATAGGAGAACTTTTGTGTAGTGTTGATCCTGTGGGGAAAACTGAGATTGGGATGAGGGGTAAATGAATAGGATAGAATTATGAAGTGCATCTCTATGAATATACAGGGTTTGAATACCCCTGTCATGTTCCCGAGCTGGTCAGAGAGGAGACAATTGCCAGGGTTATAGGTTGAAACTTTATTTGTCTTTTTAGACATGACAATTTACTTGAAAGTAAGAATTAAGGCAAAATGCCACAAAAAGGATACTTTGAGAGTTAAAACAGAATAAAGGCAATATGCCACAAACAGGATATCTTGAAGTAAATGAATACAGTCTTTTATATACAAGTAGGTTTGAAGTTATTTCCAAGTAGATTAATAGTTTGTGGAATGTCACACTGCAGCCAGGTTCAGGATGATACAGGATTTAAATGGTTAAAGCTGGTAAGTACTTTCAGTGTAATATAGTACAATTTGCTTTAAGGATTATGCAGAGTTGCAGCAGTTAAAACAGGTAAGTAGATTCCAGTATAAGGAAATACAAGTTGCTTACAGGATCATGCAATGTTGCAGCAGTTGAAGATAGGAGTTTCAGGAGGATTCCGGCGACGGGACACACGGAATCTCCATAGAGTATCAGAATGTTTTCAGGAGTCAGGATACAGGATGTTTTCAGGCAGAACACTGACTTCAGAAGTTCCATGTCAGAACACTGACTTCATTGTAAAGGCCATGAGAAGAGTTGGGTGTGGCCTTTTATAGCAGACTTGGAAAATCATATGAGGCGGATGAGAGCAACTGAGGATTGACTAGTGGCTAGGGAGGCCACTAGAGGCGAGAAAAAGGAATTGCAGCAATAAAATAAAGCAATATTTTGGTTGTCAGGATAGGATCCAGACAATCCCATTTAAAAGGAAACTTTTATATAAATTACTCAGAAAGGAACAAATAGATATAGCCATGATACAAGAGACTCACTGGAAAAGGGAAGAGAAAATTAGGTGGAGATATGAGATGTACAAAAAAGTTATACACGCATCTCTAGAGAAGAAAAAAAAGAGGAGTGGCTATAATCTTCTCAAAAAGGCTTAATAAATAGATAATATATACAGAGGTTGATAATAAAGGAAAATACAAGATCCTAGTTTGTAAGATAGACTCGGTAAAATATACTTTTGTAAATCTTTATTTGCCAAATGTATTACCAACAAAGTATATAAAAAAGAGAAAGGATAGAGTAGAAACAGTTAAAATGGGACTGCTAGTTATTACTGTGGACTTTAATTGTGTCATGGATACAGTATTACATAAAAAAAAAAAACTAAAGACAATAGAAAAATAAGTAATCAATTAAAGAAACAATCTAACATTCTAAGAAATATTCTGAAAGAAAATAATTTGTTGGATATATGGCGAGTCTATCATGTAGAAGAAAACGAATATACACACCATTCTAGAGTACACCACTTGCTATCTAGAATCGATCTGGTTTTGGGAGAGAATAGTTTAGTAGAACAAATCCAGAAAATTAGAATAAAGTAGATATACTAGTTGTGACCCATTACATATAAAATTGAAATGAATAAAAAAAATGGTAATAATACCAGCAAATGGAGTAGTCTTGATATCACAAATATGATCTGGAAAACCTATAAATGGAA